ATTTAACTGTTGTATAAGTACCATAGGAAATAAGGTAGTTTTATATCTGTTATCATTTTGTGCAGTTTCACCACAGCCTGTGAAGACAGTAGAGTTACAGTCTATCCATACGGGAGATGGAGTTAGGGAAGACTAAGTCCCTTACCCAAGGCCTGTCAATAGTGAATCAACGTGGAAGTTGAGTCACAAACTCAAGACCTCCACCCCTAGTTCTCCAGACTTACCGTTCTCCAGGTCCACATTCTTCTCTCAATTCCAGCCATTTTGAACTGTCTTCAGTTCCTCAAATAGACTCATCACTCATGTCCAAGTCATGAGTTTTCTTCCTTCTTTTCTCCTCCCTTTCTCCTAAGCCTCACCAGCTCCTACTCAATCATCAGTTTCCATTTATGTATCTCTAGAGACCTCACACAACACCTGGAACACAGGTTAAATGCTCTCATAGCTACTCCCTAAATACCCTGCATTTTTTCCATTATAGACCCGCTCATGGTATATATCCTCTACTAGACTGAGTGTTCCAGGAGGGCAAAATCACATCTGTTTTGAGAGGTAGCACAGGGTGATGGTTAGAGCCAGGCTTCTAGAATCGGGTCTGACTTTGCCTTCCCAGATCCAAAGCTCACTAGCTAGTGAATGCACGTAAGTTACAGTAGCTGTAAGCCTCATTCATTAGTGGGGTCTTAAAAGTCCTCATCTGATATATATTTGATAAAGACTAAGTTAGACAGTAATACATATAAAGTTGCTAGGGGAATGTCAGGCATACAATAAGTATTCAGGAAAATATGTGGCACAAATAGAGGCTCAAGGATAATTGTGAAAAATAAAGTATAAATGAACTAAACTGTTTTAGATTTTCCTATTTTCCTGATGCTTTTAACATATTCCTTTATGTTATTTAGGTGCAAATGGCTCTTCTCTATCAAATTCATAAATCATGTTTGGGAAGTTTGATATTAATATAAAGCTATTTCTCAAATGAAAGCAGGAATAAAACAACCCTCTGTTTCTTCTAATGGATCAGTTTGAAACAGATCTTTAGATCTGAAAATGTTTCAAACTTTATATAGAATTCCCTACCTCCAAATGAAATCACAAGTGGGGTTTAAGTCAAACTGCTGTTGACTGATTGGGATGATGCCATTGATAAAAACCAGTTTGGCTGTCTGGGGTGCATGAGCCAATTTAAGCTGTGTTTTGGCACATCTCAAATGGATTTTCCACTTCCTCCCCAGATGTACGAGTCAGCAGCAGGCAGGAATACATTGATGTTTATCCTATCCTGCTGTGTCCCTAGGCAGGCATTTCTGAGTTTCCATGATGTTTTAATAATGAATTAATAGTGACATGAAAACACAGTTTTGGAGATTTTTCCTGATTCACCGTAAAGGATTTCACTTTCCTCAACCAGATTCCCTCCCCTGGATGGTCAACGAGAAAAACAGGACCTGTCCACCAGCCTGAGATGCCGTTATTGTTAAGATACAGGAGGCAACATACTACCTATTTTTTGATTTTGTATAAAACTCCATAATATGTTAATGCATATTAAAAATTTCTACAATTGAGTAGGAAAATTGTCTCATCAATTTATTACTGCAAGACATTACAATAATGACAGTTGTTAAATATTTACTGTGAAGCAGGTAATGTTGGTAATAGTTTAGTGCCTCATTTAATTTTCAAATGTGTGTGATAAAATCTCTATCCCTATTTTTTTGCACATGAGGAAAAATTATGACTTCAATTAAGTAACTTGTCCTGAGCCATACCACTCAGTTGCAGAGGTAGACTCGAATCCATATCTGACTTCCACTCTCATACCTCTCCTCTATGCCCTGAGTTGCTTTTTAGGGTTTCAAGTGGAATGATTGTCCTTTATAAAACGAGTGCCCAGATTCAGGGAGAGTTGTTAACATAAATGAGAAGGACATCCAAAGGGTAGTGCATGGTAACAAATATTGGCCCTGAAGTCAGCTCATCGGCCATCAAATCCCATTCCCACCACTTACAAGCTGCTATTATTCTTATTACTATGCACCTTATTCTTCAATGTCCTGAAGCTTTTAGGAACATTCACTGTGTAAATCAGTGCTTCTTGAATATACCAACTTATTCAAAACAAAACAGTTTTGTAGGTATTATTATACTCATTTCACAGATGACGAAAAATGGGACCAACGGAAGATAAATAACTTGCCAAAGGCCACACTGCTGGTGACTGATGGAGAAAGAATTAAAACTCAGGTGAGGATAACTCTAAAAGCCATCTTCTCCTTAGTGTTTCTCACTATCCTGGTGGGGCTTTGCCTCATTTAACTGAAGTTAAGCCATCCCTTACCTGTGGTCACCTAGACTCACAGTTTGGAGGGATCATTACAGTATGTTTTTAACTCCCAATGTTCTGGTTCAGTTTGCTTTACACGTTCTTATTTATACCTCGTCAAGGACGATCTCAGGAAGTACAGCAAGGACAGAGTGGCACTTCGCATTTTGTTCCCATGAAATTACTGGGGCATAATCTCAGATCATCTTCCTTTAGAAACATCAGCAGAAGAAGATTAGACTTTATACAAGTCAAATCCAAAATGACACATGTGAAAAATAATAGAGCTGACTTTCAGCCATGATAGCTTTGGCACACCTCACATCCCTTTGTTCAACCTCTCTTCCCTTAACAGAGAGCTGCATTCCTGGGAATTTCTGTTGTGCACTTTTCCCACTTGCCCTGCTGTCATTTAAAGGTGAACATTCTAGTTTTGCTAAGAAAAGCCTTTCCTTCATTTGTAATGAATAGCAATTTTATTACTTTTGACCTCAAAATCAGTTTGCTGCCTTCAAATCTTTTTATTACTACCATTAGTAAATTCAAAAAAATATTTTCAGGTGGATCCCAGTTAGAGGCTAACTCTAAACCCTTGCTACTCGAAGTGTGGTTCACGGTCAAGCAGACTCTCGTCACTCGGGACCTGGGGAGAAATGCAGGATCCCACAGCTCTCCCAAACAACCTATTAAATCAGAGTCTGCATGTTTACAAGACCCACAGGTGATCTGTACGCATGTTCAACTGCGAAAAGCACTGATAAAAAAAAATGTACACTTCAGATTGTTAGGCTGTAAAAGAAACAGCCAAACAGCAATGTGCAGAGGTGTCTTACTTATCTGGATCAGCTTTCTAAAAGTCGGGCTTGGTGCAGTGGCTTACACCTGTAATCCTACCACTTTTGGAGGCCTGGGTGGAAGGATAGCTTGAAGCTGGTAGTTCAAGACCAGCCTGGGCAGCAAAGCAAGACCCAGTATCTACAAATTTTTCTGCACTTGATCTTAGCCAAAAGGCCAAGAAGTGATACCAATTTTTCTTTTAAATTAGCCAGGCATGGTGGTGCATGCCTGTAGTCCCAGCTACTTGGGAGGCTGAGGTGGGAGGCCAGCATGAGCCCAGGAGGTCAAGGCTATAGTGAAGTATGATTGTGCCACTGCACTCCAGCCTGAACAGCAGCAGGACCTTGTCTTAAAAAAAAAAATCAAACACCTAAACAGCTCTCACTGTCATTATTTTATGAAATGGCAAGTCCTCAGTCCACAGCCCCTGTGGTTATAGTGTTATTAATTTGGAAAAGACCTCTTCATTTTAGGAATCAGCAGCCCAGACAAAGTGGCTGATAGGTGAGAGGCCAGATCATTCCAGGCAGCACAAAGAAAGGCCACCTTAGCTGGAATTCTGTACCTTTCTCCCAGCAGACAGCATCAAGAGCACCACAAGTCTGCCTGCTTGTCCAGGCCTGAAACCTTAGAATACAATTAGCAAATAATGTTTGCAACACCATCTCCTTCAACTGCCATCACATAGATGGACTGGTCTAAAGATTTAGCTTAGGACCCACTTTTATTTAGGGAGAACGACTTCATCACATCATTGCCTTGCAAGTATTAATAATCCTCCCTTAGGGGAGGCTTTCAAAATCCTCCTGAAAAGTTCTGGGGTTTTCTGAGCTGGACCTCGGGACTCGACTGCTACAATTAAATCATGATCCTTCTCCAAGAACAGCAGCCTTCAAAGAAGGCCCTAATTCTTCATCCCTCCTTGTAGCCCTCACTGTCATTTCAGTCTGTAGCGCCCTCTCACTCTGACACTAGGCTTAACTTGCTTAGGTCAATAAAATGAAGCAGAAGTGATAGTGTACAATTCTGAGCCTAGGTTGCAAGGAGCCTCGTGTGTTTCTATTTTTCTCTTGTACCACTACCATCAACATGAGAACACGCCTACCTTAGCTGCTGTCATATGAGGAACTGAGCAAAGTTGCCCAGCCAAGGCCAGCCTACTAAGCCTGTAGCCAGGCAGCATTATATACGTAAGGAATCCCAGCCAAGGTCAACACATCTGTCTTACCAACACAGCTGACTTAGACTCACAGCTATAAATGCTTATTGTATGCCACTGTGGTTTGTGGTTATATTACACAGCATAACTGTGGCAATAGAAAATTGGTTCACCAAGTAACCAACGAAATTAAGTTACTGATGGATATTCCCCTTCTAAAATTCTTATTTATATCATATTTTTCTCCCGAAAATATTAATTTCCCTTAAGGGTATTTAGGGACAAGCAATGTAGCACATGAAAAGTCAAATAAGAAAGCTCAGAATAGCCAGTCGTTTGGCAATGAACACTTGTTTTCATTGCTTTGACTTTCATATTACATACATGTAACAGAGTCGTATATCCATAAGGACCATGAAGCCCTTGGTAGAACATATGAAATATTTCATCTCACAAAGTAGGCACAATGTCTACTTAAGGGGCTGGACTGAATAGTCTCCTTTATTTCTAACGTTTCAGGTACCAGACACAGCGACACATGGAAAGAGACAGACGAGATCACCAAGCGCCGCACTCAGGTAGTGCATCTCTGCCCCCGAGGAAGCAGCTGCCAAGACAAGAGGCGTGTGTGTGCCTCAGTGGGCCTCACCTGCCCATAACTTAGGGGCATGTTACCTTGTTGGCGCATCTTCATGGTTCGTATCTTTACTGCCTTTCCTCGAACTCGCCCTTCACAGAAATAAGCACCATTGATCTTACTAGCCTTTTCTCTCTTCCAAACAACTTTTTTAGCCCATTCTCTGGTCATATCTTGAATAACTTCCAGTGGATCCTGGTGCTGGTTCATTAAGGCTTCAAAGTCCCTTCCTATGGTGAAGGGCTCATGGGGGTGCCACCCAGAGGCAATGCAGGTGAGGGATGTTTCATCATCAGATACAAGAGGTAGAGAATTGATCAAGATCAAGTCCATGGCACCTTCAACAGCTCCTAAAAGAGAGAGAATAATGTTTGACCTAAGGTTATTAACATGACCCCACAGGGTAAACTGGTGCTCACAAAGCCTCGTCTTTAAAAATGTGTGTGAGGATTCTTTCTAAAATGCCATTATGACCATGTGCCTATCTTCCATTGGACAGAATCCAGAACTCTTTACCAAGGCATCAAGACCCTTCATCAGCTAGACCCTGCTACCCTCCCCTGCCCCACTCCATACCCTAGTTGCAAAGGACTACCCATTATTCCCCCAACAAGCCATGCACTAGACATAGTTGGGTATTCAGGAAATATTTGTTGCATTAAGATGAGTTAATAATAATGAAATTATAATCATTATTAGTCATTATATTGTGGTACTGTCACAATAATAAAGTATTCTAAAGGAATATATCAACTACATACATGTACGCCTTATAGAGATTCTCATTTTTAAAGAATCACTCAATTCCACATTGAACACCTCCAGATAAGAGACAGACAGTGACTAAGTGAAATCTGCATTTCCCACCAGGCCTCCTTTACTCCATTTTTAAAACAAGGCAAATAAGACCTACCTTTCAGGATTCTTGTAAAGATTAAATAAGATATAATATGTAACTTGCCAAGCACTATGTCTGTTATATATTGGGTAATCAGTGATCATTATTTCATTTCTCTTTATTGTTTCCTGAATACTGAGCCCCAAACCTTACCCTCTCCCCAAATATAAAAACAAAACCTTGCCCAACCTTTACATTTTATGAATTTGTTCTGTAAATGAGGACGTACATTTTTAAAAAGAAAATCCTCTCACATTATTTTCTCAGTATTTCTCTTTCTCTCTCTTCCCCTTACCCACCTCTCACTTTTTTGATTTCTAAATGTTGTAACATGAGCAGATAGTGTCTGTGCCTATTCTCTCCTCCTTAAATATGGAAATATCTGGGATGAAAAATGTTCTCTTGCTCCAGTGATGGTTGGCTCTCAAGTCCGCATGAAATGATCAGGAGACTAGAAAGATCAAGCACACTGAGTGATGAGGACCCAACCAGAGTCTCAGAGACCTTTGTGTAGATGTAAAGTGATTCAAATAAGCTGCATTTTATCTTGTTGAATACTCATGAAATTCAGCAACTCTGTGATGTATGCACCATTATATATGAAGAGATGAAGGCTTAAAAGACTGAGCAGCCCGTTTGATTTTCCACAGCTACTGAAGGCAGAGCTGAGATTCAAATGCTCACTGGTCTTTCAGTCCTTGGATACACATGCTCTTTCCTACCTCAAAGCCTTTGCTGTTCCTTCTGCCTGCAATGCTTTTCTCTGCTCTTGGCATGGCCATCTTCTGCTTATCCTTTGGGTCTCAGCTTAAATGCCACTTTCTCATAGAAGGCTTCTCTACCTGCCATACCTGTAACACCTACACACTCTCATTACATTGTTCTCTAATTTGGCCTCTTGCTTTATTCATAAAGATTACCATAATTTGTGTTTATTTTACTTACTCTCTCTCTCTAAATGGTAAACTCCAAATGTTCTGCATAGGAACAGAAATTTAGGAGCTGGTTTACAATGGAATATTCTCCCTAATCTCAACATATAGAGGACTGAAGTACTCACTGGATGAGTAGATGGATGGACGGGTAAATTTTATTTCAGATCTGCCTGATTCAAGTCCATCCACTTACTTAGCTCCCAATTATAGAATAATAAGGTTAAGAATGAAAGTGCTCCTGAGTCTAAACTGACCTCCGTGACCACATTTAACTGTTTTGTCAGTTACTGAGTCTATAGGGGGAAAAATTACAATTTTTACAAAATGCCAAAGAAAAGCGATCAATGACTGCTGAGCATTTAAGGTTGATTAATATTCATTTATCAGAATTTTTGAGCACCTACTTATGTCAAGCGCTGTACCTGGTATAAAGTCCTCATTACAATTTGTTTTTAATGGCAACTGCCAGTGTTTACTGTATGCAGTGATGTTTTGAGGATGATCTTAGTATGAATTAAACCTTTATCTGAATGATTAGGAAGAAAAATTTCAAAGTCAAGTCTTCATGTAAGCAGTAGTTCCAGCTGCATTTTATGGTAATATTAACTCATTACATAGGATTGTGGGAGAAAATCTCCACTAGAATGAGTTCCCAAGCCTGACCTTGAAGCACCCATCTTACTTCTAGCCTCATTGGTAACTTTTACGATCTCAGGAGAGGGAACACATGTTAGGGTAATAAAAACATTAAAAGAGGGGATGAGCTACAAAACCTAGCAGTAGACTTGCAGCCTCCAAAAATAACACCAGCACACACCTCCCTCCCACGCACATGCCCAGCCATGGCTCTGAGTGAACACCACCTCATCTCTTACACTCACGCATTCCAGGCATGTTCCAGAAAGGGTCATCAAGAGGAAGGAAACACTGTAATTCTTCCAGCCGCAGTTCAATCCAGCCCCATTTCTAGGGCCAGTCGAAAGTCTTGCCAAAACCCACAGGATCTGCTCTGAACTCACAGCACTGGCAGTGGCCATGGTTTATTTAACGACTTTAGGAAATAATAGAAAATGCAGTTGATTTGAAAAGACAACCACACAGTGTATAAATTGTTTCTAGGTATGGATCTAGTTTCTTTTTCCTCTTGCTCCTTTCAGAGATCTCCCTTTACTTTCAGTGATGGAAAAGGAAATTGTAGACTCTGGGAGTCCAGGTTTGGCTATACTTGGTTACCCTTGTTCAGCATGCTAGTTAAAGAGGCCCTCTTCCACCAGTGAGTGCTCTGTCCTTTGTAGCACCATTTACGGTATCAGAAGGCTTTTTTAAAATTGTACTTTAGGTTCTGGGGTACATGTGCAGATCATGCAGGATTGTTGCATAGGTGTATATATGGCAAGGTGGTTTGCTGCCTCCATCCCCCATCACCTATTTCTGGCATTTCTCCTTATGTTATCCCTCCCCAACCCCCCGCTGTCCCTCCCTTAGCATCCCCCAACAGATCCCAGAGTGTGATGCTCCTCTCCCTGTGCTCATGTGTATTCATTGTTCAACATCCACCTATGAGCAAGAACATGTGGTATTTGATTTTATGTTCTTGCGTCAGTTTGCTGAGATAAAGTGCTGGGATTATCCCTATGCCCATTCCAAATCTGAAATTACATGCAAATAATGCATCTTTCTCTTTCTCTCTTCTTTCTAACAGGAAATTTCTCTCTTTCTCTCTCATAGGAAATGTGATGTGATCTCACAATGCTGGGGGGCGGGGAAAGGAGTTAAAACTTAATGCTGAGGGAAAAAGAAAACTTAGCCTTTTAGAAAGAATAGAGCAGAGGCCCCATGACAATGAGTCCAGCTGTGGCCGGTGGCTTCTTGTAAGAGTTCTGCTGCCGACACCAGGAAAGGCATGGCTGCAACTGCGTATCTGGTACCACTCAGAAAATCTGCTATTAAGGACATTTCCTGAGACTCACTGCCAGAAGCCAGATCCTATCTGGGCTCATACCAATATCAATCTCTCTGCTTAATACCGTTTCTTACATTATAGCACTATCCCCTCCAAAACCTGCTGGGAACAGATAGTGAGTTGTTTCATCACAACCCTATCTAAAGGGCTCTGATCAAATTCATTAATAGTTTAATTCGTACTTCTATCATGAAGGCTAACAATTTACTATAAACAAGATGCAAACTGAATATCATATATCTTACATGTTTTAGAGATTAATGCTATTTTTCCTTAACAAAAATCTCTCAAACACTTTTTTTTTCTTTTTCTTTTCTTCTTTTTTATTTTTTTGAGACAGAGTCTTGCCCTGTCACCCAGGCTGGAGTGCAATGGCATGATCTTGACTCACTGCAACTTCTGCCTCCCAGGTTCAAACGAATGTCCTGCCTCAACCTCCCAAGTAGTTGGGATTACAGGTGCCCACCACAATGCCCAGCTAATTTTTAAAAATTATTATTTTTAGTAGAGATGGGGTTTCACCATGTTGGCCACGCTGGTCTTGAACTCCTGACCTCGTGATCTGCCTGCCTCAGCCTGCCAAAGTGCTGGGATTACAGGAGTGAGCCGCTGCGCCCAGCCTCAAATACTTTTCAATGTTTACATAAAAATGTGTCCATGTTTATAAGGAAATACTTGCCACTGAGGCATGACGTCTGCCAAGTTAATAACCAAGCATCACAATTGAAGCATAACAATGCGCTAAAATGTTTTGCTCACTGTATTTTCTGTGTGCTAAGTAGAACTGTATCTAATATTTCTTAGTAGCGTCTTCTCACTAAATCTTATTGTAGTGAACTCAAAATGTTGTTTAACTCTACTTTTTATATTTACATTTTCTTTATTCAGTATTGCTATGAATAATGGGCCATTAACTAAGACAAGGGATTTTTTTTTTACTATACCTTAAGTTCTGGGGTACATGTGCAGATCTTGCAGGATTGTTACATAGGTATACACATGCCATGGTGGTTAGCTGCATCCATCCCCTCGTCATCTACATTAGGTATTTCTCCTAATGTTATCCCTCCCCAATCCTCCCACCCCCTGCTATCCCTCCCCTAGCCCCCCACCCCTCAACAGGCCCTGGTGTGTAATGTTCCCCTCCCTGTGTCCATGTGTTCTCATTGATCAAGTCCCACAAATGAGTGAGAACATACAGTGTTTGGTTTTCTGTTCTTGTGTCAGTTTGCTGAGAATGATGGTTTCCAGATTCATCCATGTCCCTACAAAGGACAAGAACTCATCCTTTTTTATGGCTGCATAGTACTCCATGGTGTATATGTGCCACATTTTCTTTATCCAGTCTATCATTGACGGACATTTGGGTTGGTTCCAAGTCTTTGCTATTGTAAACAGTGCCGAAAGGGACGTATGTGTGGATGTGTCTTTATAACAGAAGGATTTATAATCCTTTTGGTATATGCTCAGTAATGGGATTGCTTTGTCAAACAGTATTTCTATTTCTGGATCCTTGAGGAATCGCCACACTGTCTTCCACAATGGCTGAACTAATTTACACTCCAACCAATGGTGTAAAAGTGTTCCTATTTCTCCACATCCTCTCCAGCATTTGTGGTCTCCTGATTTTTTAATGATTGCCATTCTAACTGGTGTGAGATAGTATCTCAATGTGGTTTTGATTTGCATTTCTCTAATGACCAGTGATGATGAGGTTTTTTTCATGTTTGTTGGCTGCATAAATGTCTTCTTTTAAAAAGTGTCTGTTCATATCCTTCACCCACTTTCTGATGGGGTTGCTTTTTTCTTACACATTTGTTTAAGTTTTTTGTAGATTCTGGATATTAGCCCTTTGTCTGATGATTAGATTGCAAAATTTTTTCCCACTCTAATGATAGTTTCTTTTGCTGTGCAGAAACTCTTAAGTTTAATTAGATCGACATGGGAATATTTTTATTTAAAAATAGTTATAGAAATGATCGTGGGCCTGAATCGATACCCACGCACTTCCCAGTCTGGAGATGAGATGACATCTCTGTCAGAGTATGTTTCTCGCATGAAGGAGAGACACAGAAGTCCATCTATTACATCACTGGTGAGAGCAAAGAGCAGGTGGCCAACTCAGCTTTCGTGGAGCAAGTGCGGAAGCGGGGCTTTGAGGTGGTATATATGACTGAGCCCATTGACGAATACTGTGTGCAGCAGCTAAAGGAGTTTGATGGGAAGAGCCTGGTCTCAGTTACCAAGGAGGATGTGGAGCTACCAGAGGATGAGGAGGAGAAGAGGAAAATGGAAGAGAGCAAGGCAAAGTTTGAGAACCTCTGCAAGCTCATGAAAGAAATCTTAGATAAGAAAGTTGAGAAGGTGACAATCTCCAATAGGCTTGTGTCTTCACCCTGCTGCATTGTGACCAGCACCTACGGCTGGACAGCCAATATGGAGCGGATCATGAAAGCCCAGGCAGTTCGGGACAACTCCATCATGGGCTACATGATGGCCAAAAAGCACCTGGAGATAAACCCTGACCACCCTATTGTGGAGACGCTGCGGCAGAAGGCTGAGGCAGACAAGAATGACAAGGCAGTTAAGGACCTTGTGGTGCTGCTGTCTGAAACCGCCCTGCTCTCTTCTGGCTTTTCCCTTGAGGATCCCCAGACCCACTCCAACCGCATCTACCGTATGATCAAGTTAGGTCTAGGTATTGATGAAGATGAAGTGGCAGCAGAGGAACCCAGTGCTGCAGTTCCTGATGAGATCCCTCCTCTTGAGGGTGATGAGGATGCGTCTCGCATGGAAGAAGTAGGTTAGGAGTTCATAGTTGGAAAACTGCCCTTGTATAGTGTCCCCATGGCTCCCCCTGCAGCCTTGAGTGCCCCTCTCCCACCTGGCTCCCCCTGCTGATGTCTGGTGTTTTTCTGTCCTGTCCTTCGGTTGAAGGCAGGAAACAAGGGTGTCAAGCCCCCATTCTTTCCCTACTCTGACAGCAGGATTGGATGTTGTGTATTGTGGTTTTTTATTTTGTTTCTTCATTTTGTTCTGAAATTAAAGTATGCAAAATAAAGAATATGCTGTTTTTATACAAAAATAAATAAATAAATAAGAAATTAGAGAAAACGCCATGTTAAACTGCATTTAAAAGAACTGTTGGCCGGGCGCGGTGGCTCAAGCCTGTAATCCCAGCACTTTGGGAGGCCGAGGCGGGTGGATCACGAGGTCAAGAGATCGAGACCATCCTGGTCAACACGGTGAAACCCCGTCTCTACTAAAAATACAAAAAATTAGCTGGGCATGGTGGCGCGTGCCTGTAATCCCAGCTACTCAGGAGGCTGAGGCAGGAGAATTGCCTGAACCCAGGAGGCGGAGGTTGCAGTGAGCCGAGATCGCGCCATTGCACTCCAGCCTGGGTAACATGAGCGAAACTCCGTCTCCAAAAAAAAAAAAAAAAGAACTGTTATTTCTTTTTTTCTAAAAAGGTGCTTCAGAAGTTTCTGAGAGTGGGAGAGGTGAAATCAACAGAAAGGGCTCCAGACCTACACTCTCACCCACTCCCAGTGAGCTGCTCAACTTTCCTTTTTTTTTAAAAAAAAAAAAAAAAATATTTGGGCTTCATAGAAGATTTTATTGGAAAGAAAAACATTTTGCTTAATTAAAAACATAAAACCTCAAAGGTCATCAATTTTCACTTTTTCACAGATGAAGGGAATAAAGGTTAAACATATCAATGAAAATACACTCTACTGCAGCACAACATGCTTGCTCCAATTAGCCTTCTTTCCCCCACATTCAAGTTTAGATACAGCTCCAGATAATCAAGTTCTGATTTACCCAGCTCCCTGATCTTCAAAGTGTTGGCAAGCTAGGAGAAAATTTTAGGGAGGTTAAATTATTGCTTTGCAAGCGTATTCCCTTATGTTTCTTATTACCTCAGAATTGTAGTATTGGGTGGAATTCTGCTAATGTGTGTTTGGAATAATGCATCATGTCTTCAGAACAACTAACTGTATGGGTTTTTCGGAAATTTGGTATTAGCTATGTTTAGAAATTTTCAAAGGTGTTCATGGTCTTCTCATCTTT